GAGAGAGAGAGAGAGAGAGNGAGAGAGAGAGAGAGAGAGAGTCATTAGTATTTCATAAAAGTGGGCTTTTATGCCCTTCCTCATTGAAATAGGGGATGGGGGGTTCTAGTTAAAGAGTTTTTATGTCTATATATTTGGCACTTACCTAGGAGTCTGACTAAATTTTCTAAACGTGGCCAACACATCAGGGCTGCATGTCGGGATTGTGTCATCACACTCTGTTTCACCAAGGTTTAAGTCTCTGTGGGATGAAGCTTCATTTGCCTTTTGGAAATTGGTTATGTGAACATCTTGCTGACTAGTTCTTATAATGGATACTGTTGATGTATTTGGAAAATGTCATGTGAATAGGCTTATGCCCATGTGATCCATGCAGGATTTATTGTGCATTTTCAAACACTTCAAAACAGTGTTTCAGGGGGTAACACATTATGTTTATATGGTGGTCAATGCTAGATGTTCACCATACGTTTGTGAAGGGGTACGGACCCCTTTTTCTAATAGTACAAACAGAATAGCACCGCTGGCGCTATTGGAGCTTTACCTTGTTTTTAAATTATTATTATATACATTGAGAATATTGGTTTTGATGTGCGATATCGATCCATGTCTTTCTTCATTAAATTTCCTAGCATGTTTATGATGTTTAGAGAAATATGAAATTTATTTGTAGAGATTGGGATTTTTGTCACTTCTGATTCTCTCCTATGCACTGATGATATCAGTTCTGTTTATACCACATCTAATTTAGTATTTCGTCATTTTACAAGAACATAGAGGGGTAGGTTGTCATTTTGCTCGCCATTGCTTCTTTGTTGGCGAAATATCCCTGCTTTATATTAGTATTGAAGATTAAATGGCCAATCGGCGTACCAAAGGAATGACTTCAAGGAGATGTACTGGTTTCTGTTTGAGGGGGGAGTTTTCATGTGTATGCAAGTGTATCTTTTGTATGTTATAGATGAGGGCATTGTTGTAATTGTGGTATAGTTGCAATTTCATTTGCCATGTATTTCATTCTGACCGGTGTGGCTATGTGGAACTCAAGGTATTAAATTAATTCTTTTTTTTTGTTACTTTTATTCCAAATACTTGAATTCCACTTACACGTGCCGCAATATATTGCAGAAAAATTAAATCAATGCCTTAAATATAACCTAGGATCTTTATTTTATTGCTAAGAGAAATAGAAACGTTCGAGGAACTTTAAACTAGCTTTTATAATAATTTTTAACACAATATAAGTTCCTGATAAATTACAGAAAAATAAAAAATAAAACTGAAAATAAATGGAAACTAATGGGAAGACTTACTGGAAGATGCCTGGGGTTACCCAACCATGACTTGGTACACCACACACCCGATTCCCTGATCAATGAGGTACTTTTCCTCCTTAAGGTTTTGCTGGAAATTCTTAGATAGCATGCTTTGTAGGCTATCCTTCTTACTCTAGGGTTTAAGAGAGCTCGAAAATAACCTAGGGTTCCCTATGAGAACAAAATAGGGCTGATCTTGGGAGTTGATATCTCTCTAAGTTAGTTTCTCTCTTCTTCCTTAAAAAAAATACAGCAAACCCTTTCCTCGAGTTTCACTTAAAATAGGTCACCTCTATTTTTTTCTTTCTAATGCAAAAATATAGAGGAGAGAGAGAGGTGGCATGTCTCCCTTTTGGTTAAGAGAGAGATGGCGTGGTAAAATAAAAGAGAGAGAGAACTTTTTTTTATTAGCGTGGAGATGACAGAGAGATCCCCAAATTTGGTGCGTGAGGAAGAGAGAGAGGTCTCCCCCCAAATTAGGCTTTTAAAGGGCACAAAAATCCAACACATTCACCCTATTTATAAGTGTCTGTCGTAAATAACAGAAGTATGTATATATATGGTAAATAATCACATTGAGGGTCTTTTGTACTATATGGTTTTGTGGGGATTCCTTCCCCAACTATCGGTTTGGGGATTCGATAGGTGAGTGTTTGGGGCTACCAGGAGGATCCTTCCTTAGACCTTCTACCTCTGTCAATTTATTTCTCAAGTCTAGTGATAGGGTTAGTTGAAGAATTTAGGATGGAACATCCAAAACACCACATAAGTGAAACCTCCTAGGGTTGGTGTGTAAGGGGACTCTTCTCTCATTTTTTCAAGTGGTTCATCTTTTTCATCATGAAGTCACATACCAGTAAATTTGTTAAACTTAGTTTTATCTTTCTAGTTTTTTTAGGATGTGAGTACATTGCAAGTTTTATCTCATTCGCCATGGTTTCTATTATTGATATTCAAGGTTTTATGAAAACCCCTCTCTCCCTGAGTGTAGGTGTTTACATATGTGCATATTCCACAGTTCTTTGGTCATGTCTTAATGGTATTTGTTTCACTTGTTGTTTGACTTTTTTGTTAGGTTACAGATAAAGTTCTGTTTGGGGAAGTAATGAAGGGTTTAACAGCTATCAAGGATGGTAGGATTGTTGATGATGCATACATTTACATGGTACTGGAATATGGAGAAATTGATTTGGCTCACATGCTGTCGCAGAAGTGGAAAGAAATGGATAAATCCGAAATGCAAATGGATGAGAACTGGCTCCGCTTCTATTGGCAGGTAATGGCTTTCTTCTGTATTTGTGATAAGAAAAATTGGTGTTTCCTGGGATGTGGCTTAATAGCTCAATGTTTCCAATTTTGAACTGTACTATTCTTTGAGAGAGTAAAAATGATTTTGTTCACTAAATCTTACTGTAGTTGCTGTTTATGAGGTGTAATATGCTGTGGTGTGGCTCTCTGCATGTATTTCTTAAATTTTCTCTGGCAGTTTGTCAAATCATTTTATTAGGAAGTATCCAACATTGCCATTTTTGAGTTATTCTTGAATTTTAAGTTTTATGAAACCGGGGGGGTGGACGGCATTAACAAAATCAGGGCACTTTCTACATCATGGGCCCGGTGTAGGATGGAATTCTGGGGTTATCTGTGTATTAATTTGTAATCAGTGGAATTGGCTTGGTCCCCTCAACCTCAGGTGACATCAAAATTAATTTTGGGGGCAGCTTGAGTGGCAACCCAGGTCCAGTAGGCATAGGTTTTTTGAGAAACAGCAATAGAAAGTGCTGCTTTCTCTACTCCTATAGGTTATACCAACGCAACAGAGGCACAGAATTTAGCCCTTCTAGCTGGTCTTGGACCAGTCACACCAAGCAGAGGTTGCCTTGTAGTGGATGTAATTTCATGGGCAACAGCTGGAAGTGGTTTCCCCTGGTGATATCCCAGCAAGTTCCTAGAAATTTTGGGACAAAGCTTCAGAAATCACAATGACATTTGTAACAGATTTGGAGAGAATTGAATGAGCTGGCCTATACTTTCGCCAGAGAAGGGATTAAAAAGAATTTCGAGGAGAGTGAAGGAGGCTCTTTCCTGGCTGGAGCACATATTTGTCTCTCTCGAAAACGTCTTTTTGTACAAATTATGTTTATAATATGGGTGCAGTTGGCATACGGATGCATCCGTAGGTGTAGAGGTAAGGTGTACCTTCAAATTTTATCATGGTATATAATTTTAATGCAAAATGTTCTTAGGATTATCTCAAAATCTATTTTTATATCTAATTATAAAATTTTAAATTTAAAAAATGGTTAAAATCAAACAGATCTATAAACATATGAAAATCTTGAAAATGGACGGTGTAGATAATATGTTTAAAATGCACTATTTCTGAGATTTAAAATCTTTTTATTTTTCATAGTCATACATCTCGATGTGGAGATGATCAATCAAAGGG